CTCGAAAGGATGGTGCGTAGTGTTTCCCTTCACCTATGTGCAAACCTAAGTTTGTAACTGGTCGATAAGTTCACTCACTTTATTTTTTCCACGTCCAGCTGCGAGCGCCAATCGCACCTTACTTCTGAGCGGCAGCCTGCTGTTTTTACCAGCGAAAGTCCTTCAAAAGAACAGTAGGTTATGTTCCGGAGAATACTCAACGAAAGGATCCATAAGCGCTTATGTGCCTACCTTTGAGACTCATATCTAACGTTGACATTGTTGGGTTCTACAACTAGGTCATAGCAAGCTGCATACGAAAATTCGCTGTTCAAGTCCTGCAAGAAGAAATTAGCCACTGATCAGCAGGGTAGAGTTTTCACACTAGATCGGTGTCGAAGAGAATAGGCGGAGAACGACGGAGAAAAATTACTAACCAAATTGGCGTTGTACCTTCCATTGAAATCAATATACTCTCTACTCACTGGTTCATAGGTGGTACATTTTGCGAGTGCTTCAGGATCTGAAAAGCGCTAGTTTGTGCCCATGTGAAATCGGAAGCAATCCTCACTAAGTGCAAAGATTTCTGCTAAAGTCACACAAAACTTAACACGGAAACGGCAGAACTTACATTCATTGCTGGCGTTCACCAGGAGGAAACACAACCCTACGAGAACGAACAACATTGCCGTCGTGATAACTTCTGCCGGACTTCCACTCCTTTTATGCTAATCGCTCTCCACCTTTACTAAGCGCTTCTTTTTTGTTCAGGCACGTCATTGCGCTTGCTCGCCCTTCTTAGAGAGATAGCTTTTCTTTAAAGCATTTGGACGAAACATGGCATGCCAACTTTCCCGAATCATGTTTTATGATTGTTCGTACTAGCCTACTGTTTTCAGAACCAGTCTGCTGTGACCCCTGACAAATGTCGCCAGAGAACACTGGGGTCCCGTCTAGTAAATCGAAAGAGGTTTCTGGGATCATGTCAAAAAGACCGCAATTGACGAAATCGTAGAGATTACGTAAGAAAGCCTGAAGGCGGAAACTCACTCTGAAGTTGGCGGTTACAGGGAAATTCTGTTTGTTAGACTTTGACTGCCGTCGTGAAGAGGTTCTGGAAGTGGGCAGATAAAGCCGAGTGGTTAGGAGACATGTACGCGCTTCTGGACA